TTTAAAAGTTACTTTCTTTTCCCCTTCCAAAATGGAAATTGTCATTATCTTCATCACCGGCGTACCCCTGTCCATACTGCCTCTCTTCCCTGCTTTTGCAACGGCCTCTAAGTGTCCATAATTCAGGGTTGCTGCTGTGGATCGCGCTAGGGTTCAAGCAGGTGTATGATAACCACTGCCACTCATACACCGGAGTAGGGAGTATTTGTGGATGTTGTGTCAGTTTAATTCACTGGACTTCTCGCATGAGCACTACATCTACCCTTCCAGCTCTGTATGAGGCTCCATCTAACTTGGTACTGTAATTTCAATGGGGGAAACAAGGAGGAAATCAAACAGAAGAAGAACCATAATAACTTCAGGAATAAATAAATAAAATTCAGATCAGTCTACTTCACTAGCAGGCCAGAATGTACCTCCTATCACTCTGTTGTAAAGTTTATGACTCTCAGTGGTTGGAGACAGACAGATAATTATTTGGGGAGAAGTCAACCTCTCTCTGCTGTGATGCTCCCTGAAGCACCCTGAAACTTCAGGATCTACCAATACAGATTAATTATTTTTGTCAAAGTTCATTTAAACACAGCCTAGAGTAAGTCACTATGGCGGCAGCAGTATGGGTTGTGTTCTTTGCTTGATGTTTCTATTGGTTTCACTGAAGGGCACACTGGATATGCAAAACCAAAAGATGCTCCAGCATCACAATGAAATGGGTTCTTAGTTGGGTAAGAAAATGCTAACTTGCAGTTCAGGCAATAAGGTGGAAAGCAAAAGACTGCCAAGCTGAATGAATTAACCCACTTGTAGTAAGATGCTGAAGACACTACCTTGCCAACTTCCGACAGCAGCTGTGTTTTACTGGCTGTAACTAAGGTGCAGTTATAGAAAATCTGTACACTGGCTCTTACTTCCATCTTTTGCATATGTATCTATAAGATGGGAATCTAAAGATAAGATACCTGTGAATGATTCATGAAAATACTAAATATTTAAATGAGCAACGAAAAATATTTAGGGAACTCCGTGACTATCTTCAGATTAGCAAAAATGATGGTAGCGTCTAGGGAACGTTATTGGAGACAATTGTACTTCACAGATGAGCACACTTTTGGGCCGCTGGAGGAGAATAAACAAGCCCACAACATGAACATGCTTATGCCTTATGAAGGAACTGAAAGCATAGGAAAGAGTCAGTCTCTTATAATACACTGACTGCTTTTGTGGGATTAAATTGCCTAATCAGCTCCCAAAGTGCTGCACCTGATATTTCTTTCCGCTTATGCTGAACATAAAACATTTGGATAATTGTGTGGGCTGCAGAGCTGTGTAAAGACAACAATTCCCTAATACTCTTTGCAGGGGGTAAAGTATTAGCATATCTGTCTCTGGCCATGGAGGTTCCCAGAAGACTTAGTGTAGTGCTAAAGCTTTTAAAGAAGCTATGTATTACTTGCAATAAGATTCAGAATCCTTGTGTTCAGCCTGAAATGGTTTTAAGGGCAGTAAAAATTTAATGCACTTACCTGCATAAAATGATATGAACGCTGACCGCCCCCGTTCTGCTTTAGTCTAGTCAAAATCAGTTTGCAAATGATGCTTGGAGTTAGTCTGAATGAATGATGTGATCTCCAACGCTTTAAACAGTATTACTGAAACTGCAGGAACTGATTCTGACCTACGCTATGTTCTTCACGGGCACTGTCTGTACCGAGAGGTACGAAAGCAAGCGTAAGATGTACCAGTCTGTGTGTCTATGGCAAGTGCCTGGCTTCAGGGGGCTGATGCTCCAGAGAGTCTCTGCTGGCTCCTGCGTGAGGCAGGCACTGGCAAAGTGACCAGGAGTCTCTCTCTTCTCTGCAGCTCAGTTCCTCATACGCTGAGATTATTTCAGTTGCTTGAGTCTCTGTAGGATGGTATCCCTGAATGTTACATACGTCAGGCTTTAAAGTCTATAGGGAAAAAGAAAATGCTCTGAACCCGGTCAAAAACCCCTCTAAATCCATCCTCACCTGCCTTACCTGAAAGCACACTGGTCAGTGATAGCTGTACCCACTCTTCCTTTTCTTCTTGACAGGCTGGTGTTAGACAAGCCCTGTCCTTGCTGCAGAGGCTGCCAAGGCGAGCAGGGGAAGGGGAAGGGGAAGGGGCAGAGCTGTCCTGGAGCAGCTGGCTTGAGCGCGGGCCCCATGGCACTGGCTGGGGAGGTCCCTGGCAGGCGGCTTCCCTGCCCCACTGGCTGGGGGGGCAGCGGCCATCTCCACTGAAACCCCTTCAGATGATCTGTTGTGTCAGGCTGTGCAGATGTCGGCAGATGTTTTTTGTCGTCGCAATGTAACGGTGCACCCTGGGTTTATGTTTCAGATTACCCTGAGCAGTAGGGCAGAAACTGATGGGAGCCTGTTTCTAGCCCTTAGGCTTCACAGTAACTCTGGCATGTTACCTTCTGTGTAGGCACAAGTCTGCCAAAATAAAATTATTCTGGGAAGGAGACACTTTTAGATGTGAGAGAAAGAAAGAAATAATGGTGGGGAGGAAAAGTGCGAACGGAGGACAAGGGAGATGGGACTAAGGCAGTTACTGACGTGAGAATTTACATATCAGTTCAGCTGGAAGATCTTTTTTTGTTTATGGCTTTGCTGAGATCAGTAAGTTCCAAGTAAAGGCATTTCAGACCTTGTTGCTATCCTGGTGACAAGGCAAGTCTTACCTTTTTTGATATATTTTTAAATTTTTTTCTTTTTCTTTCTTTCCACCGGAAGAACAAGGATTCCTTTATAGTCTTGCGCAGGATAGCATAAGGAAGCTTTGCTTGCTCTAAGTTAGTGCGTGGTTAATAGTAAGTAACAGAACTTAATTGGCAGATCTACTGATGCAGCAGTCTGAATGCTTCTGAGTGCTAAAATTCAAGGGCTGCCATGCTGCTTCCGCTGTGGTCAACGTTAGCAAAACGAATGGCCTTCACATGCCTGATCTTGTGCTCTCACCCTGTATTGATTGTTGGAATTAAGAGCAGAGAAGAAAATGTTAAATGTTCACAGATGAGAGAAGCGCAACAGGCTTCCAGTAATAGTCTGGCAGTAACCATGAATTTAAGTTCAAATAACCATGTAGCCCCTGAATGAGCAGAAGCAATCCTGAAGTGTAGTTGTTGATCTGAAAAATTATTCAAATGGCATTACGGAGTTCCTCCTTGAATGTCATGATGATTTCCAGAACTAGCATTCTTCCTCTGAACAGAGAAAGGAGAGAGAAACAACACTGCCAAATCTGAAAATACAATCTGGAATTTGAATTAATGCAGGGTTGGTCTTTTTTCTTCTTCTTTTGCTTTGTGGATGGCCAAAGTTAGAGCCTCGCTTGTATCAGTTTGTTCCCGGTGTTGTCAGTAATATCCTTGGTGACTCCTGCTCTTGTGCATGGTAATTTTTCGACCAGGTGTAAGCATTTGGACTGGGTTGGTACACAAGCAAAAGGGAAATAGCTCATCTTTCCTTGTGTTGGCTCTTAGCAGCTTCTGACAGGCGAAACACAAGGGTTAGAAATCAAGACTCAATACAGAAATGAGGAAGAAGAGATCTCACTGGGAAATTTCTTAATGATACTGTTCAGGATTTTGGAAACCTTCAAAAGCAATGTTATGTTTTTCCATCACCTGATAACCCATTTTGAGCAACTGAGAATTAAAATATGCAGATGAGTACATTATCACATCTAGGAAATGAAGTCAAGAAAGAAGACTGGAAAACACCTCTGGGTCGTACGCGTGCACGCGTTAGCACTGCTCGGCTCCCTCCTGTACGGGCTGCGCTGTTACAATTGTGGAGGGGAACAGCAGACAAATGTTCTCCTTGCTGAGCCTGTGGACAAGCACAAGCGTAGCTGACATGAGAGCAGGGAAAAAGCAGGGTTTCCTAGTGGGGTAATGGCATAATGGTACCTTGCTTTGATCAGCAAGGAACTAGGCAT